TGACTAATACAACTGATTTTTGGCATAATTCAAAGTAAATATACCTAATCTTACAAGAACAAAAACTAAATCATTTGTAAATGAATAACAAAAAATAAGAAACAACATTTTGTTGTGAGAAACTGATATAGAGGTGTGCAGGTTTACACACTCGCTTATGAGGAGTACCATTTTCATTTGAGAATTTGTCCAAAACAATTCAGAAAAACTACAGTTGCTCACAGATATGATACGATTCTACCAAGACCAGGACTTAGAACCAGCAACCTTCTGAACAGAGGCTCAGCCCATGGAGCTATCAGGGCAGAACGGAAGGATCTGTACTAGTGGTTCTCAACTATTTTCATCGGCCATGGATTGTGTGGTTAAAAAAATTATTTTGAAAATGTCTTGTAAGGTCAGCCTTTAGTGGTCGCAAATGATGCCATTTTTGTGGGATGGATGGATGGATGAATAGATAGATAGATAGATAGATAGATAGATAGATAGATAGATAGATAGATAGATAGATAGATAGATAGATATAGATAAAAACAAAAAAAACATAGGGTCTTGACTTAATGACTGAGGAATACTGTGGCACCTGAAACTACCCCAGTTGAGAGCTGCTGGTTTGTACAAGCCCCAGAATAATATATTCTCCTTGTTTGTTGAGGAAGAAGACAGCTTTTGTGGGAACAAAAAACCAGTTGGTCGGGTGAGAATGACTAACACTACCATTAATGATTAGCACAGTTTTTTGCAAAGACTTTTTGCTGCTGTTTTTTTATATTATCGCCCGTCAATCAAAAATATAACTTAGGCCAATCAGGATATCATTATCTTGAGCCGTAATTTACCCATGGATGAAATAACTGAATCAGCCAAATCCCATTTTCAAAGTATAAATCACTAAACAAATCACTGTAACCCTTCAACTTTAGCTCATCTTTCTTTTGATTTCTTCAGCCTTGAATCATTTTGAATGATTCATTCTGAAATAATGACAAAACATGACTTAAATTTCTTAAATGACAACTAACATTTCTAAAACAACAAGTGTGATCCCCAAACCATAATGTCACTTCTGCACAGCAGAACATCATTCTCGTTGCTTCAAACAGGTTTCCAAATGTTTTAGTACATATATACAAATGGTTTCGTAAAACTGTCATCAATTGGAACAAATTTCCATTGCTTTAGTCTTGTTGGTCAAAATAGATTATGTAATTTCCCATTGCAACAGATCATTTTACCCAGAAAACTATATATGTGTGTGATCATTGTATTAGTCACCACATGCAAAACAGCCAAACTTCCAAGATGATTAAAAAAAACACTCCCTACATTGTAGTAATATGGCATTGTTGTGCTATTGTACTGTGTATTGGGATCTGAAGTTACATATGCATGCAAATATTTTCTCTTGTCACTGAACTTTACATACTGTAATGTAGAGCCTTGCAGTGTAGGAACTGGTGTCTTTGACATGAATAAGTATCAGTTTGCTAATGAAAATGATCAGTGACAATGAGAAAGTGGGAACCGACTATCATTCAGAATTGTGGAGCTCAGGACTCTGACATGGTTACACTGACATCCTTACTCTGACATACTGACAATATATCTAAGCATTATTACGATGCAGACGGTACATTTCATTTTGGTGGAACTGACTAATTTATTGGTGGAATTATTAGTTTTTGAGACATGAGTTAATTGTTTTGGATAAATTACAGGCTTTTGCAGCCAAACCATAGCGTTGTGTTAAATGCATAAAATGTTTTGAGAAATGATTTCATGGCATTGAAAATGTTGACTATGTTTCATGAAATGTGCCACAGTAAGTGAGAAAAACTGTAAAATGGACAGACTAAAACCTACAAAGAAAAAGGGTAGTAACAGGGGTCTCTCAGTATTTTCCCAGTAGACCTGGGAAGACCACAAAGGCAGTGTCCACTGATTCAAAAAATAAATGTGGCAGCCTGTCTCATTTATCCCAAGGTGGGGCGGCCCCTAGGCTGTAGCCTCAGATAGCTATGCATTATTGAACTCCCCCACACTCTATAAAGTTATGTTTGTGCAAGACATTTGCAATATGTCACCTGACATGTTTATGGCACAATGCCTATCTTTCAATGAAGAGGAACAAACTTTCCACTCATGTCAAGAAATCAGAACATACCCTTTGCTCGAAAAGACTGACGTAGACATTACTCTGCACGAACAGATGGGCAGAGACAGCCGGCCAGCTGCAAAGGGAAATGAAAGACAGCAGTTCCTCCCTGTTCCTGGGTCCTCAGGGCTGTGAGGTTATTTCAGTTCACTGCACTTCCAGAAACTAGCACAAAGTGTGATGTGTTGCAACAGTAAGGAGATTCCGCTTGAGGCAATACACTTACTTCTGAGCATAGCTATAATCCTACACTCTCAGAAAAAAGGGTATAAACTTGTACCTTTGCTTGTCACTGGGGCTGTACCCACAAGGGTCTGCCAACTGTACCCTTAGCTGTAGGTAACTGTACTTTTTAAGGTACAGAAATGGACTCTGTGGAACATTTCTGTACCATTGATGGTACAGTAAAGTTGTTTGTACCTTTGTGATGTTCCTCAGTGTCCATTTCTCTACCTCAAAAGGTACCATTACAAGAGTACAGCCCCTGTGACAAGCAAAGGTACACATTTTTACCCTTTTTTCTGAGAGTGTATAAATAAAATGATAAGACTGTAAGTCCTGCTATAGGTCTTACATTTATCCCAGGACAAATCACTCCTATCCTTTTGTTAGCTACTATCACAAAGTATTCACGTATTCACTGAGTGTAGGTTCAGATACAGGTGGTATTGAAGCAAACCTGGGCAAAGTTCATTACAGCTCCATGAAGCAATCATTTCACTTTCTCCTTGTCACTGACTGATCTTTCATCTTTAACAAACTGGTACTGATTCATGTCAAAGACCCTAGTTTCAACATAGCAAAGCTCTACATTACCGTATGTAAAGTTCACTGGCAAGAGAAAGCACTCGCAATGGATATGTAACTTCCTCTGATGTCAAGACAGAGTACATCAGCAAATAAAAAAATCACACAGCACTATGTAACACAAAAACAGCAAAATGGCAATAGAAGAACAACAAAATGACAACAAAATCATGTACAGTGGCAACCAAAAACACAACAATGTCGTATCACTGCGATGTATGGGATACTTTGTAAATCATTTTGAAAGTTTGGTTAGCTGTTTTGTGGTGACAAAACATGATGACCACACACATATTAAATATCACATCTAAAGGCTCCAGGTTCTCTGCAACTGTACTGGAGAAATGGTTGATAGCTGTAGGTAATTGTACCTTTCAAGGTACAGAAATTGACTCTGAGGAACATTTTTGTACCATTGATGGTACAATAATGCTGTTTGTACCTTTGGGATGTTCCTCAGAGTCCATTTCTGTACCTTAAAAGGTGCAATTACAAGGGTACAGCCCCAGTGACAAACAATAAAGGTACACATATTACCTTTTTTCATAGAGTGTAGGGTGCAATTTTTTGAGGGGAAATCCACATCACCATCCCACCCCCTCCCGGTGTGAGGAGCATTTCACACTCTGCTGGGTGGTGGTGGTGGGTGATAATATGGCCTTTTCAGTGCGGATAAAGAACCTCCAGAAGAAACTACGCAGTCCCTCCTGCTGCCTGGGACTGGCCTTTAAGAAATAAGCCACCCTATAAAACGGATGGTGTGTAACAGGCTGTACTCATTAATGTAATTGCTATGTTCCCCATTATAAGTACTGATATAATAATTATATTTTTGCCTGTACTCATTAAACGTTTAAGGATATCTTTAAAACATCAGGGACAACAGTGCAGAAATTTTTTATATTAAAATCATCAAAATTTATTTGCAGATGGTTTTCAAAATGTGGTCTCTTGTTATTTGGATGCCATTGATAAATAATAATATTTTCAAATATGTGAGCCTTCTCGCTAAGTGAGGATGACGAACTTTATGTCACTTGCTGGGAGCTGACATTGACATTTATCACCACTGTGGTCATCTGCATCCGCGACTCATGACTTCTTTTTTTACAAACACCGTAATAAAGGTCGTATTGGCTATGCGGTTTTTCATGTTAGAACAAAATCCATACTCAGCAGAAAAGAAAGGGACCACAAAACATCCTTCCCTCTGAATCACTCACGAAGACAGATGCGCAAACACACGGTTTACCGATCATGATAACCTTCTCAATTTACACAGAACTTTAATGAAATAAACGGTTTCCTCTGAACTACACCCAACCAAACCCGCAAGAAGTCTGACATTTGATACAAAACAAAATAATTTATTCATTAACATCCCATAGGTAAAGACCTGAACCCCCCCCACACCACCCCACACACACACACATACCATGAAGGCGATCTGGGTATTCATGTAGCTTAGATGAATTAAAATTAAAAATAAGGGGAATTTCAATTATAAACTTGGATAATCTAACTTAAGTCATTCAGCTGGTCCGTTCAAAGGTTGATGTAACACCGTATCGCAAGATTATAGGCTATAAACTTGCGTTGCAGTTAACCACCGTTATCAACCGAAACTGAAACTCCGATAAAACCTAAACAATGGTAGAAAATGCAACATTAAACTATTTTTGAAATACATGTTAAACTCTGTTGACACTAAACATTTTGTTCATAGATAAATATAATTCTTCATTCAAATACACGTACATTTCTTTAGAGAACAGAGAAAAACATAATTTATTTACATAATTATTAAGCAAGATGGAATGTAAATTGTAAAATTTACGTAGCAAAATAACACGCACTGTTTAGAGCTAGTGAAAAGCAAAATAAACTGCATGCAACAACGACAGACATGCATGATACTAAATTACTAAGTGACAGACGTGACAAGGCGCTGTACGCTTTGCATAAGAACAGCAAAGACTGGAGAACTTCGGACGCCCGGACGCCACTTCATCGCTCGACACTTCACAAGTATTAGTGATATAAGTGTCACGCGCGCGCACCTCTCGGGACGCCCCGTTGAGGTATAAAAGCGGTCCCGGCTGTGAGGCAAGGAGAACGAAGGACGCAACTTAGGTGAGTGACTATGAAACTGCGCATAAATATGTTTGCTGCAAATCCGGCAATGAGTTATTCTGTAAAATTCTTATGTGACAGGGTTACTTTATTTAGGTTTTATGATGATGTGGTACTTATATGTGTATATATTACCATTTAATAGAGCATGTTTTATTTGCCATTATTAACTTTTTCATCATGGAAATTCACGTAACTTTCCTTTCAAGCTAATCGAACAGGGGGACGAATTAAGAGTATTTCGCTTAGACTACATATGTAAATAGGAATATTGAGCAAAATAAGATTTGAACGATTTCAGTAATAGCAAAGACTGTTGTAAAGGAGATGTAGATGCTTTTGAGATACGATAATTATCATACTACACCTGCGGCTTGTGAACTGTTCTATTCTGCTTTTGCATCTAAATATGTTTTTAAATTGTATTTATCGAAATAATAGCGGCCATTAAGCTGCTCTTTTAAAGAGCACACAAAGTCATGATCTTCAATGGCAGAGTGATTAAGGGAGATCCCAGAAGCGCCAGATAGCTCCCACCTTTGCCATTTACAGCTTGCTTTTCTCCTGCCCATTCAAATTTACACTGATCTTTTCCCCATTGTTATGTGGATGTCATTCCTGAGGATCTGCGGTCTATTTGTCTGGCCTTTTGATACACGGTACAGGCAAACTGAATGACCTCTATGTCTGTTTCCTCACAGGTGTGTTGCCCATACATCAGCATGAAGTCCATTGCAGTGATTCTCGTTTTGGCAGTGATTTCAGGCAGGTTTTCCTTACCCACGTGGTTACAGTAATAATTAAATAATTAATCATTAAATCAATGATATTCAGAACTCAGAACACTTTATTGCCAGTATGTGAACATACTGGAATTGGTTGTGGCTTGGTGCAAACAGTAAGTGCAGAGATGACTGCAGTTTACAGGACACATTGCAACAGGAATGAAGGACAACTGTCCAGTGCAAACCTAATAGTGTTTTTTTTTTTAAAAAAACAAAAAAAAAAACAAAGTACAGACACATTTGGTGTACCGATTATAAGAATCTTCTCAATTTGCTCATCACTTTAATGAAATATACGGTTTCCATTGAACTACACCAAACCAAACCCACAAGAATCATCTGTGAGCATCAGTTTGCACTGCAACTGGCTAGCTAATCAGGAAGTAGATATGTATCTTTTATAAAAATGGTCAATAACTATTTAGCATTAATTTTGTGACTGTTCACTGTACTGCTCCCTAAAGGCTGCCAGGCGCGTGCAGTGCCTCAGGATGAGCCCAAGACCAAATGGGAGGAGACTGTGGACCAGTTCTGGCACTATGTATCAGACCTTAACGCCAAGGCCGATGGAGTGGTCACAGATATCAAAGGTCATCAGATCAGCAGAGAACTGGAGTGAGTAGAGCTGCTGTCACATCCCTCCTACCAGGCCTCTTGGTAACAAGGCCTCCTGAACATTAGCTCTAGTACATACATTTTCTGGTGTTTTTTTTCCATTGCATATGCATTTAGGATTATATATGTGTATACTGTATATAATTTATTCTATCACCACTGTCCCTTGCCCCAAACCCACTCGTCTATTCAGTTCTTCATTGGCATGTTTTCGTGATACAATTCCCAACTTTCTGCTCCTGCAACACTTTTTTTTTACGCTGTCCTGTTTGTCACCTGTCTACTGCCCAGCACTCTGATAATGGACACCATGGCAGAGCTAAACAACTATAAGGATGACATCCAGACCAAACTGGGCCCCTACACCCAAGACACAGCAAACCAACTGGGCCAGGACTTCCAGCTGCTCGTCAACAAGCTGAAAGCTGACATGACTGATGCTAAGGACCGAACTGCTCAATATGTGCAGGAGCTGAAGACCATGATGGACCAGAATGTAGATGATGTTAAGAACAGGATAAACATCTACACCAGGAAGCTCAAGAAACGTCTGGGCAAGGACACTGAGGAGATCCGCAAGTAAGGCGAATGGCACTGGCATCCCAGAGGACAGGACAGGAATACTCAGGAATACTAAGCAAGGGAGAATTAGTGTGTGGTCCATGTAGAGATTGTTTTAAATCTACCTTTTTAAGATTCATTACCTCAAAGGACATTAGCCAGTTCCTAGACTTTAGCTGTTAGGCTCACAGGCAGAAATCAGATAGCAGAAGCTGATGTTGTCTTGCTGACTGCAAGCCTAACTCGCACTTCCACCCCACAGCACTGTAGCTACCTACCTTGGAGAGATGCAGTCCCGTTCTTCCCAGAACATGGAGTCAGTGAAGGACCACCTTGAGCCCTACTTCAACCAGGCTCGGCAGCGCACCGGGGAGCGACTGGGAAACCTGAACCAGCTACTGCAATCCCAGGTTCAGGACCTGGGGCAAAAATTTGAGTCCCAGGCTGAGGGCATTCGCGAGCAGCTAGAGCAGACCGCTGAGGACCTGCGGACCACCCTGGAAGGAAAGCTGGAGGAGATGAGCCAGTGGTTCGACCCCTACGTATCAAAGATCCGTGAGCAGTTTCAGACGGTCATGGACAAGATCCAGGCTAGCTCTTAATATCACAGATGTGGCATTTGGTGGGGGCTGTGTAGGGGGAATGGGTTTACAAGTGTCCCACTCATCTTACAAGGCATTTTGCAGTATCATGTCATTGCTCCTCAAGAAGTGAATTGTTAGCATATTGCCAAATTACCGGTGCACTTGAGTTGTTCTTTTACTTCCTGCCTGATGGGGGGGTTAGGGCAGACCCCCCAATTTGCTTTAGCATCACAAACAAGCAGCTTATACCATTTCAGTCCAAACTAACTTCTCTTGGCCTATTGCACCGCACTCTGAAACTTGTCCTTATAAACAATTTCCAATGAAAATGCTTCCTGGAGTTGTAGGAGTCAATTTATATATTTGATGTCCTTGAAGCAATAGAAGTTACATTCTTGCATGTATGTAAGGACCTAGCATATGAAATATGGAACTGCTTAGTTTTTGTAACGCTGTACTATGTTTGATCATGTGTGTGATTGTACTGAGACGTGACATGAGTATGCTGCTGCGGTCCACACTATCTTTGTCCAAGCAGCATTGCACCAACGCTGTAGCCTCATGACGTAGCCCTCGCTGACACCTTTTCAGTGTGTTAGCCATAGTGCAAAAGGTTTCTGCTGAACCAATAAAGAGTATTAAATATGCTTGGTTTCTGTGTTTTTGTTGTGGGTGGCTGAAACGCAAAGCAAAACCTAAAGCACCCAAGGTTCTAGTGGCGCCGTAATGAAGATTTATTTCCCAAAAATCCCAGTGCCTCTGGCGAATAATAGCTAACACTTGTTTAGCAGTTATGCTAAATCTTGCAGTTCGAGATGTGACAACATAATTGTGGTCACATAACTGGTTTTTTTACTGTATGAACTACATTAATTTATTGCAAAACTGCTAATGTTACATTATATGATATTTTTCAGCAGTACTGCTTCCTGTTCTTGGCCAAAAGTGTTGTTGATCAGAGATTATATCCATCCATCCATGACTTATCCTATACAGATCCATGGTGAACCTGAAACCCATTCTAGAAAACATAAAACAGAGATTGCTTGTACAGGATGCTACTCCATCACGGTGCACACAGACCATAAAGCTGCCCTACAGCTGCTTACTCACAGAATTGCTGGTAGCTACAGTGCTACTCAGGGAGCCCCTCAGCTGCTTACTTACAGAGCTGGTGGTAACTACAGTACTACTCAGAGAGCCCCTTGGCAGCTGGTAGTAGCTACGATGCTACTCAGACAGGCCCTCCGCTATTTACTCTTAGAGCTGTTTGAGGAGGCTGAGGGAGCCCCTCAGCCTCCTCAAACTATATCATTGTCACTTGCACATAATGCACTGCCTTTACATCTCTGCCATTTCTCCATCTTTTGCAGAATGGCACACCAGTGATAAACAGAGATTATATTCTCATATTATTCACTAAAACCTCTTCTGAATTGCATTCATTACAGTATGTCAAGAGTTTGGCATCGTTTTTTTCACAGACCTTTTGAATAAATATCCAAATCAAAATTAAAATCAGGTTCATATGGCTTATATCACATAGATGCTACAGGTACAGACACAGTTAAGATAAGACCCCGGCCACATATAATTCTCTTGGTAATTCAGATCTTAAATACTATGCAAGAATAATTTCAATAACAATTAAAGCAATTTTTTTTATTTTATTTTACACTTGAGATTAATCTAACTAAAACCAACACACCTTCCATTACTTACCAACTTGCCTGGTAAAATGTGACTTGTAGGTAGCCGTATAATTTAAACAATTTTAAAAAAACAAATTGAATACATCAGCAAGATCAATCTGTCGCATACTTAAAACATCAAGGCCATCTTGTTCATTCCATGTCATACCGCAACCCTAGGGGGCGCAAATAATCATATTATGGCAAGTGCATGAGTCATCTTTCTAAAGAAGATGACAGCTCTTTTATGGAACTTATTTTATTAACAACCAGCATTGGTTTAATACTAGCCGCAGCACAGACAGGGAAGCCAACAACTTACACAACATACATGGTTACACACTGACGAAACGCATGCATTCCACTGCAAGCATTACACAGTGATGTACATGAACTATTAACAGAAATACAGAAATGCACATATTTATCTACGTTATTTAAAGTGTAGCGTGGTGGGGTGCAAAGCATCCCAGTAACTGCATTGTTATTCTTGCTGACCAGCCCTGCACCATCACATTCATGTCAGCCAATCATGCATAGTGAGTGGGATCAGAACAAATGAATAAGTTCACCTTGGGGACCCTGCTCAGGTGACACGCCAAAATGGTGATCACCACGGTGAATAAGGCTCCTACGATGTTGATGTACCAAAAAGATGTAAATTCTGTCAATTTCTTCTGACGTATACCAGCTTCATTTGCCATTATTTGGTTATTGGCCATTTGGCTATTTATACTGTTACGTAACAGATTGCTATCCATGGCCATAAGCGGACTGATGAAGCCGATTTCTAAATCACATTTCTTCTTGGCAATTGCTAAAATGTAGTCAAACCAAAAGGGTTATAAAAAAAAACAAACAACTGACATCTCAGCTGAATGTTGCTGGCCTGTGTTTTTCAGGGGGTGTCTCATAATTCCTCCCACCCAGCCTGCCTTTTCGCCATTTGCCGTGAATACATAACTAGGATCACAGTAAGTGTTTACCTTGGCTTTCACATTTCTGTGCCTTGTTTTTCTCATTTTGTCATGTCCCACTGGCCCTGACATGTTGGGCCTCACTCTCAAATACCTTCCAGCCCTCCCCCGCGGGGCGTAAGAACATGCCGTGCTTCACTTTGCTTTGCTTTGTTTTTACTTTTCAGATGTCTGAGCCTTATCTTCATCCCATCCACACGAACGAATAAACATGTGTATCCTGAGATACTTCCCATAACGAACCAATAGCACAGACAGGCCTGCATGCAGAAAATGGCACGATCGTCCCTGACAGTCAGCTAATGCCCTTTTACATGCAAGACTCATTTTCCAAAGGACAATTTTCGGAACAGCAGTTCTACAAAAACAGCTAAATTGACAGACCTGTTTCACCACAGCATACAGTACCTTTTGTCTATTTAAACAGCACCAATTTAAACAGACCTCATTCAAAGTCACAAGACAGACCCATCTAAGCACTGTAAAATCTTAACTTAAGTCCTTGTTCACTTCCGATACTTCCCATTTTATATCCACAATCTGAGCCCTATTTTTAAAATCCTTTCCTTGCTCAAAGAGTCTGCTGTTCTCTGACTCAAAGTGGTTTTCCTCTCAGCATTTATTCCCTTATGTAAAGACAACAATGAGTGTTTTCTTATATCCTGCAAGTGTTCATGGGAGACAAACTGTGCCTTTACAGACAAGTGTACCAAGGGTTCTGTAGGACTATACCAAATCTTGTATTACAACTGCTAGTATCCAACATAACCCAATCAAGAATCTAGAATTCTTGGTAATCTAGCAAATTCTCTGTGGATACAGAATTCTAAAGATCTACGTAAATCTACCCTTGCCCGTTAGTTACCCCTCTCTGAGCAACACAACAGACATCCTGTGAGCTGTGGGTGTTTACAAGATTCAAAAAGAAAAAAAAAAGAAAACCACAATCACTCAGTCAGCATGTCTTCTCAATGTGGCTCTCTGTTGTCTGACCAAGCTACGGCAAGCAGGTGTTGAAATTAACCGACAGTAACCCGGAGCATCTCCTCTGACAAATATGCTTAAGGCAGAAGCTCGTTTGCAGCCCATTTTTAAGTCTGTTATTACTCACCGCCTCACGGCTTCAGCTATTATAAAACTGCCTTCTGGCTCATTCACAGGCAGAGTCTCACACAATCAATGAAAGAGATGCCAAAACGACAGACTAACACGAGAAGGAGCGGAATTGCAACCATCCCATGCAAGACAATGGGCACAGTCACATCACAAAAAGACACCAAACGACAGCCATTGGTTCCTTGCTTGCAACTAGGAATGACTAAAGGAATTTGCATCTCCTTTCCATTCCATGTTTAGGAGGTTCCTCTGGCTCACCGCTTCCTCAGCTCACTCCCACATAAACGCTTACTCGACTCCACAAACAGACTGGCTTCCCCTAATTTTTGCCAGAATGTAGACATTCTAAGGCAAAGGTCTTCAGTTTGACCAATTTCATGGTTTTTTTGGCTAATACTCATCTGATTTGAATGACTCAATCTGTACCAGATGTCTCCAAGGCAAACAGAAGGAGGAAGATGTATCTACAGTATATCTGCTACCTGTTGTTGATTGAAATCTGAACCATGCAGATATCTGTACTGTGTTACATATGGTGGAGGGCGGGGGTGATGGGGGGTTACATAACGACAGATAGTCTCATATGGTAAACCATTGTAATACTTTGCCCAGATAACAAAGCCCAGTATCTCACAGCTACACAAAGACTAAGCCTGCAATCCTCGGTTAGTACCGGTTAGTACCGGGCAAACCTTTCACTGTTAGCTGGATGCTTTTCGGATTGATTCATATTGATCTGTGCCCTACACAGTTGGTACTAGAAACCTAGCTGCTTCAGTGACAGGGAAATTGCTGACTGGACATTGCATGAAATCTATATTCATATATTTTCTATGCCTGATGACTAGATAATTAAACTCTGGAGGAACAAATAAATAATTTACTAAACAACATATAAAAAGGTACTGAGCCATGGCATGGTAACAGTGGAAAAGTAGCTAAATATAGTTTAAAGCCTTCTAGATTAATTATCTTTGTTAAAATCAAAGAAATATATATAATTTAATTGATACACTGAATAATTTTGACATATCTGTCACAGAAATTAGGCTGAGTAAAGTTAATGAGATAACAATGATTAAACACTGCCGCTGCCTCCAGATGGTGGCTTGTAAATCGCTCATGCTCATACATATCGATCTATATACGTGCAGGTATATTAAGATCTGTGAAATTCTGATAAATGCTGTACTTTAAACTTTTCATTCATTACAAGACCAAATGCATGACTCTTTTTGTTGTACAATAGTTGCAATACAACCTTATACTAGCGCAGACTGATCATGCACCAAAAATACACATCAGTCGTTTTGTTTTTCATTTAGGAAAAAAAACCGTTTTAAAATTTATCACTAAAAATACACGAAACCTTATTAAAGTAAAACATGTGGATTGGAAAAACATTGGTATGATAACATCACTCACTAGTTTAGATTTCATCAAATGTAGATAAAAGAGGCACACATATAAACAAAGAAGAGCGATACTGAGAGCTCTCGCATCGCGGACCATGAGATTCCCGCGTGCGGAAGGATGAGAAATGAAGAGGTCACTGCAGTTCAGAGGCGGTAGTTATCAGTTGCGTCAGAGAGCTGGTGAGGACTATATAGAGCGGCGCCAGCAAACAGCAGTTAGACAAAGACAAGTTTTACTTCTGAAAACTGAGAAAACAGGTGAGTGTTTACTTCTGCGTAGATTGCATTGGTTGTTAATATTTTGGAATTAATTTAATTTTAATTTTAATGATTGTTTATTTTATGCAGCGCATCATGATGTAGATTTAATTATGCGTTTAGTAACTGCAATTATATTTTAGGACCAAGGTACAAAGTGATTTCGTTTCATTGTATCCGATAACCGTTT